TTTTTTTTTTTAATATTGTGATACCGTATTCCTTATGTGCTTGTCGATGGAATCGTTTTACTGACCTTGTCCGTACCGTTGCAGTTTATGTGCTTGAAGACAAAATGCAATTTTTCATTATCAACAAATCTTTTACTGTTATCTCACAACGGCAGCAACCGGCCGCAAAAGAATAGAGACCTAATGACCAACAAACGCTTGGGAAAAAGTAGCATACACCTTTATTCGATATAAGGAAGTATTGGGGCCTTAAAATCTGTCTAGATATTGCTTAAGTGGCCCACGGATTTATCCAATTAAATGCTTCATTTATTATTTGTAAAGTTCTTAGTGCAAATTTTCCACCGTAACGTTATATTCAATAAAAATCATTTTGATGAAGGATGGGCAATACAAATCATGCAGATGCATGTCGGCAAGCACATAAGGAATACGGTAGGTCTTATCCACAGCAGGAATGGTAAGTTTCATGTAAACGATTCACTCAGAATGGATGACATCATACCTGCATGAAAGGAGACTAAAACACTTACTCTTGAACGCATGGCTTAGCGAATTGCCAATCGGTAAATGGTTTTTAACCCTTTCGCGAACGGGTACTTTTGACCTGGCTATATTATAGATAGAAGGTCAAGTCATTAGGCCATCAAAAGGGGCATTTTGCCCCCTTTCATAAACTACGGTACCACAGCAAATCTTCTGCAAATCCTTGTAGTTCAAGTAGAAAGGGCGAATTCGCTTGTCCAACACACAAAAATAATGAAATGGGGCATTTTGTCCCCATTCGTGGGTGACACCAGCGGTACTCAAGGATACGCCCTCCAAAGGGGGCAAAATGCCCTCATTGACCACGAAAGGGTTAATTATATCGGTTCAGTTTCAATTTTAATTTTCTTGTATTGGAATTTATTAAATAGCTACGGATTCTCTTCCCAAAAACCACAAGCTACGAAACCAAGCGTTTGAGGACCAGGAAGAAACAAATGCAAAGTTTGTTTAAATTTTTTTGAATCAAAACGGAGTTTTTGAGGAAGGAGGAACAATGAATGTCGATGAAACCGTGGTTTTGTTCAACATGCAGCCTATTAAATTATGCGCTGGTAAA